TTGGCATGCACAATACCTGAAAAAGGCAAAGAAAAGGCCTCAGCCAGAAAATATGGCCGATCGACCAAAATAAGTGCCGACCGACCAACAAAAGTGCCGACCGGCTAACACTTTTGGCCGATGGCAAGAAAACCAGGCCGATGGCTTCAAGCCTTGGCCGGTGGGTTGAGGGGATGGCAAACAAGCCACCCTCTTCCCTCATAAGCAAAATGACAAGTCCTTGGTTCACAACCAAGCACAAAACAGACAAGTTGAGAGATCCTAAGGCAAGGCGCGCAGCCGAGACCTTCGGGAACTCAAAATGAACACGAGCATAGATGATCATCGAGTGTTCAAACGATGACATCCAAGTCTTGAGGACAGTCAAAAATGGGGTGTCTACACACCCCTTTCATTAACTTGCGCTGTTATGCTCGTTAATTGCGTTGTTTCACACCTATTTACTTGCGCTGTTAAGCACTACTTTACTTGCGCTGTTACGTACCTCTTTACTTGTGCTGTTACGCATGCTTTACTTGCGCTGTTACGCACTCCTTTAATTGCGCTGTTACGCATGTTTTACTTGCGCTGTTACGCATATTTTTTTGTTTTACTTGCGTTGTTACGCATGTTCAACCTGTTTTACTTGCGCTGTTACGCATGCCCTCTTCTTTAATTTGCGCTGTTACGCATGTTTTACTTGCGCTGTTACGCATGTTTTATTTCTTTTACTTGCGCTGTTATGCACGTTCTACTTGTTTTACTTGCGCTGTTACACATGTCCACCTCTTTACTTGCGCTGTTACGCATGTTTTATTTGCACTGTTACGCATTTCTTTAACTTGCACTATTACGCACATATCTCTATCCTGCGCTGTTACGCATGTTTCTACTCGCGCTATTACGCATATTTTCTTTGCGTTGTTATGCATGTTCCACCCGCATTGTGAAGCCCCCGAAATATGTATTCACTTTAAAAAAGAAAAAAAACCTAATGTTGAATTATTTTGTTAAAGCCCCTCGGTTACTTGAATTAATTCGAATCTTGTCGGTTAGCATTACTATTTTTATTTTTATCGAAACAGGAATTACCCTAGCCGGATCAGGTTCCCTAACCTAATTTAATTCTACCTAAGTTACATGTATTTAACTCCAAGCCCTCACCCTTTATTTAAATTCAAAACTTACCCAAAAGCTAGTACTTGTACCTTGTACCTTGAAGTACCATCAATCTTGTAAGATATATATATATACACCGTGAAGAGTGTGCCATAGGAGCAAAACTAATAAAATAATAACTCCATCACACTCCCCCAAGGCCGGCCACCCTAGGAAGAAGAGAGGAGCCAAATTTCAAGATTTTTTATCATGATATTCTAGGAAAACCAAAACCTAGTACCCTAGACCTAGGATGATGTTCCCTATACTAGTTACCTTTCAACTAAAAATCAACTAAATAATGCCTAATCCTATGATTTAGCACCTTAGTTACTCCTATCCCATTAGACTCCAAGCAAAATCCTAAACTTTCCATCCATTTCCAACTAGTGGACTTTTAGGACATTTTACATCAAAAATTGCCTATATATATACCAACCTCCCCTAGCTTGGCAAAGCGCAAACACCACACCCACACACACACATTCGACTAGAGAGAGGGTGGAGAGCAAGAAAGAGAAGTCTAGAAGAAGAAGAGGAAGAAAGAAGAGAGCTTTCTTGTGCAAAGCTTGATAGGTAAGCCACAAACACAACCTTCTCTTTCATTTTCTTTTTTTCAATACATGTTTCTTAAGGTTCTAAATAATGTTTTCAGAAATGATATTACTAAGTTCTTATGTTAAAAGTGCTAAGGGTTGAGTATTGATTCCATCTCTCTTGTATTTTCCCCATTTTTGTCCAAAACCATTTTTTTTTTTTTTTGGGTAGCAATCTCTCAACTTTGCAAAGGCACTCCTTCAAACAAATTTTTTGATTTAAATATATGATAGTTAGCATATTTTCTTCGCAAAAGAAATGAAACTTTCCCTTGGTGGAATCCCTTTTTCATAAATCTTCTTGTTTTGGGCAAAGCACCTTAGAATCTGTTTGTTTTTGCAGCCCACTTCCAGAAATTCTAGAAAAATGTATAAAATTATTCTGGGCCTATATTTCATGTCAAAACCTTCCTTAAGGTGTTATCTTTCAGCTAAAATTGGTTTCATTGAAAAACATTAAGTTGTTTGCAAGAAAATCAATTTTTCATAACAGTCGACGGATCTGGACAGAATCTGGACAGCGCTAGAATATTTTCTAGATAACTTAAAATTTGGAAAAGCGATGCCATTTCCAAAAAATGTTCTACAAACTAGATTAACTCCTCTACAAACCATAGGAAGGCCAAGTCCGGTGAAGGATCTGAAATAGTCCTTTCATTTCAATCTTTATGTGATATTAAATCTGGAAATTTTGTTATGCATGGATGTTTTAGGCCTTGTATTCATGAAAATGTTTGTTAGTCATGATCATATCCTGGCATGATATTGTATGTGTTATGTTATGTTCTTCATCTTCTTCACCTTATTGACACATGCTTGTGTGGATATTTTTATCTTTTTAAATTGTCTAACCTTGATGTAAAACATTTAACTCAACGGGAAACCTAATGGGGAGGGTATTGGGTTTTTGAGCACTTGAGTGATGAAAAAAATGAGAATATGTGATATATGGATTGTTGGGACGCGTTCCCCATTTGAAAGCTAAAGTCTTGCGCAAGTGGTTTTCGGAACCCTTAAACGAAGCGGTTGTATTCAGACCCTAGGTGGTTTGGTGTAAGGAGGGATTCGGGCAAGGCCCTATTTTACCATCTCTTTTGAGGCCCTGCGGTTGGCGCTACACGATACATAACCGTTGGTAGGCATCCGATGTTAGGTCTGCAACAAAGCAGCAGAGAGGGGGCATACCGAATAATCCGCATTCGATTCTCGTGGTTGGGAGGATGAAATCTCCTTGGGGGATTTCTAGTTGCTAACAACCTAACTTAACCCTTTATTTATTTAATTGAGTATTATGCTTTATTACTTGATGTTATAATGGTGATTATGTATTGGACTGGGAAAATGGGGTAGGGTGTGTGTGTGTTTACTGGGCATTCAAAGCTCACGGCGTATCATGCCAGGTGACGAAGCGGAACTCATAGCTGGAGGCGACGAGCCGGAAACTTTTGAACACTTTTGGCTATCCTAGAAAAATTAGAAGTTTCTTTTTGGATATTTTGTAAAGACTCATTCGAAGACTTAAGCTTTCTTCTGGAATGTAATGTAATGGAGCCATCTTTTGAGTTATATATATTGTGATTGTTATGTATTTATATTCTACGTAAGAACCTTATCGTTGCTTGTGAGACCTTGTGTCAATACCTTTTAACATCAGTCAAAAAGGCAGTGCGCTGCTTAAGAAAGTTGGACTTAGAGGGGAGGCTAATTTGACTCCTCTGGCGATCTGGGATCTTACTTGGTTATTGACCATAGGACTCATTAGTGACTCTCCCTTGACTGCAACCAATAGTGTAGAACCGGGGTGTCACAGCTTGGTATCAGAGCCTAGGTTCAACCCTTAACCCTCGCAACCCTATACACGACTCTAAAAGCCCTTACCCCTTATCTTATTTTATTCTATCACGCTATTATAAGAAGATTAACTAATAAAAATATTTTCCACCTTAGGATGTCATCGGGAGGCTATCCAGGACGTGGCGTCAGTACCGACTCGTGGCGTGTTTTCCGTATGCAAGGAAGGAGGGCCATGTCTGTCAGCCCCTACTTTAGCCGCCGACGCTGTGAAATCACCGCCGAGGAAATGATGAAGACCGAGATACGTAAGGTGGAGACGGAGTGCTCCCACTATACGAGGACATAGAAGAGGTCTTTGGTGCGGCGCCGCCTACAATTTCTGAGCCGGGCAGCAAAGAAGGCGATCCGAATGGAGCAAGATGAACAGACAATGAACTCCTTGATACACCGAGCTTTCACCACCATAGCACCGACTCAGGCTGAAAGCCACGAATCTTGTTATCATGGGCCAGGCGACAATCAACCAATGGATATGGAGCATCCACCAGAGCAGCAAGGAGTAAACCCAGCCTACCCTATCGAGGTGTCATCTGATCACAATCCTCCCACACCAATGTACACCCCCCGCTCTCCGGACCAAGCCACCGACTCCGCTGATGAAGACCCAGAAGAAGACTTTGATTGGTCGGCAAATGTGAACTGAATCGAGGGATAGTAAAACTAAACTTTTGTACGACCCGCTGATGGGGATCCTTAGAATAAGATAGCCCGATCCTTGTAATGCGTAGAAACTCTTTGAATGTAACTCCGATGTAGGAGCCGTTTTGTAATGATGCCTATTATAATATATGAATGATGTGTTGATCTATGTTATCGACTGTTACTTGCTTTAGTGCACCCTAAGGAAACTGAACCTTTATTTCAAATCTAAGTAGTAAGATTTTTTTAAGATTGGAAACCAACTCATCACGTGCCATGAACAGAATGGTGGACACGCGAGCTAATGGCTATACCGAAACCAGCAACAATCTACGAAACCGTCCCAGAAATTAGCACGGGCCCATCCCCGCAGGGGCTGACATCCCCAACAACCTAGGTCATCAAATTTTGGAGGAACTAGGGCAAATAAAGAACAATTGGCAGAATGAGAGGACTCGACTCTTTTCTGAGTTTCGAAAGCAGAGGCCCCCAAAGTTCACAGGCGTACCAGACCCGAAGGTAGCTGAAAATTGGCTCCGGCAGATAGAGAAAATGCTAGACACTATGGGCATAACCGAGGCCGCTGATAGAATAGCTATGGCAGTATTCGAGCTGGATGATGAGGCTGACCATTGGTGGGAGTTAATCAAGAATACTCGTGACGTAGCGAGCATATCATGGAACTAGTTCAGGGAACTATTCCTATATAAATTGTTCTCAAGTACTATCTATCGAGAACGAGTCAAAGAATTCCAAAACCTGGAGGAAGGAAATATGACCGTGACCCAGTATGCTGCAAAATTTGAAGAGCTAGCCCGTTACGGAACCAGATACGTAGCAAATGATGAAGAGAAAGCAAGGATGTTCGAGTGGGGACTGGACCTTACAATCAGGGGAAGAGTCCTTCCGCAACGACTCCCCTCATATGCCGAGGTGCTGGAAATGACATTAGAATCTGAAAGGGAAGTGAACAACGCCAGGAAGGCTTGGAACGAGAGAAAAGGGAGTCAGGCGTCTATTGGACCTCAGAGGATCCAGAAAGGAAGCGTGACCGCAAAGCCCTACTCCAGACCACAACCACAACAGCAACGACAACAACTGCAGCAACAGATCCAGAGAGGAGGCTACCAACAAAGGCCGGTGGGACAAATCCAGTGCTTTCATTGCCAACAATTAGGGCACAAAAAGAGTGAATGCCCCCAACTCCCTCCATCGGGATACCAAGGAGGAGGTTCCAGAGCAAATGCCCAGGCATTATGAGGGCAGAAGCCTTGGACAAATAAGATAGGATCTACCAAGCAGCAGCACCAGAGGAGTAGAGGAACTCAGAACGCCAAAACCAATGACAACCATAAGGTAGCCGGCAGAGTCTTTGCTGTGCAAGAGGAAGAAGCGGACCCGTCCGTAATTGAGGGTAATTTTGTACTATACAATTCTTGGGTGCATGTTTTATTTGATACCGATGCATCACATTCTTTCATATCCTCTGCTTGTGCTAAGTCATTAGAACTTGTATGTGAACCCTTAGCAACTGCCTTAAGTGTAATGTCACCTATAGGAGGATGCGTTCGGGTAGGATCGATCTGTAAGGGCTGTAAGATAGGGATGTTGAACCTACGCTTAACTTGCGAGCTCCGTTTCATGGAAATGTCAGACTTCAACATCATCTTGGGCATGGATTGGTTGTCCGCCCACCAAGCGGTGATCGACTGTCGTTAGAAGAAAGTGGTAGCTCATACGCAAGATGGAACACGTTTTCAGTTTAAGGGAGATAGACAAGACCCCATGGTTTCAACAAAACATCAGACGCAATGGCACGATCAACTTGCGGGTAGGATAGCAAGCCTAATTCTAAATGAAGTAGGCCAAGGCGAAATAGAACTTTCGTGCGTAGTATACGATTATGCAGATATATTTCCTACGGAATTACCAGGATTGCCGCCAACCCGAGAAGTAGACTTTAGCATCGAGCTGCAACCTGGGACTACCCTAATATCCATGGCTCCGTATCGTATGGCACCAGCAGAACTACGAGAATTGAAGACACAGCTACAGGAATTGCTCGAGAGAGGATTCACTAGGCCAAGTACTTTGCCATGGGGAGCACCTGTGTTGTTTGCTAAAAAGAAGGATGGGTCGTTGAGGCTATGCATCTATTATCATCAACTCTATCGAGTCACGATTAAGAACCGATACCCACTCCCAAGGATTGATGACATTTTTGACCAACTTAGAGGCTCAAGGTGCTATTCAAATATCGATCTCAGGTCAGATTACCATCAACTACAAGTCAAGGAGGAGGATATACTAAAGATTGCCTTTTGTACTAGATATGGCCACTATGAGTTTGTAGTAATGCCCTTCGGACTAACCAACGCAGTTGCAGTATTCACGAGCGTAATGAATAAGATTTTTAGACCATACCTTGACCAGTTTGTAGTAGTATTCATTGATGACATCTTGGTATATTCAAGGTCTGAAGAAGAGCATGAGCAACATTTAAGGACTGTCCCTCAAGTTCTTAGGGATAATCAGTTATATGCCAAGGCGAGTAAATGTGAGTTCTGGTTGAATAAAGTAAAGTTCTTAGGGCATGTGGTATCAGAGAATAGGAATGCGGTGGATCCAACCAAGGTGGAGGCAGTATTAGATTGGAGGCAACCAAAGACTGTGTCAGAAATCTGCAGCTTCTTAGGATTGGCCGGTTATTACCGGAGGTTCATCCAAGATTTCTCCAAACTAGCTAAACCAATGACTCGTTTAACGCAAAAGGGAGTAAAGTATGAGTGGGACGAAGCCTGCGAAAAATCCTTTTAAGAGCTAAAGAAGAGGTTAACTAGTGCGCCAATTTTGACCATCCCAGAACGAGAAGAGGGGTAAACTGTGTATTGCGATGCGTCTAAAGAAGGATTAGGTTGCGTGCTCATGCAAAATGGAAAGGTGGTCGCGTATGGATCCAGGCATTTAAAACCTCACGAGCGCAACTACCCCACACATGACTTGGAGTTAGCAGTCGTAGTTTTTGCCCTAAAGCAGTGGCGACATTACCTGTATGGGCAACAATTTGAGATTTTCACAGATCACAAGAGTCTGAAATATCTATTCACACAGAGGGACCTTAACTTGAGATAGAGACGATGGATGGAGTATCTTGAGGATTTCCAATTCACTCTCTCATATCACCCCGGTAAAGCCAATGTAGTAGCAGATGCTCTAAGTTGTAAAAGCAGAGGGATGATGGCTAAGATCTCTGTCAAGGAATGGGATATGGTTAAGACACTCAATGAGTTTAGGATCCAAGTAGAATCTGAAGATACAAGAGCATATCTTAGTGCGCAGAAGGTGATGCCTAAGTTGATGAATGAGGTCCCAGAGGCCCAGAAGCATGATCAAGAGGTAGCCTACATCAAGGGACGTCTGGAATCAGGGGAGCTCATGCCCAATTGGGTAATTCACCCCGATGGGAGTTTAAGATACCAAGGTAGATTGTTTGTACCAAGTGACGAGTTACATAGAGAAAAGGTACTGAAGGAATGTCATCATTCTGCATTCGCAGTACATCTAGGAGGGACTAAAATGTACCAAGATTTGAAAAGGCAATATTGGTGGAATGGAATGAAGAAGGAAGTGGCTAAATTTGTAGCAAGATGTCTGACATGCCAACAAGTGAAGGCGGAACATCAGAAATCAGGAGGAATGTTGCAACCTCTACCGATAGCCGAATGGAAGTGGGTGTACGTGACGATGGATTTTGTGACAGGGTTGCCTAAGTCACCTAAAGGGCGCGATGCTATATGGGTAATAGTGGACCATCTCACCAAGTCAGCACATTTCCTACCATATAAGATGACCGACACTTTAGAGTCTATGTACAGGCTCTACATTGGGGAGATCATTCGACTACATGGAATTCCGGTATCAATCGTGTCAGATCATGATCCACGGTTCACCTCTCGATTTTGGGGGAGCTTGTAGGAAGCTCTTGGTACTGAGTTATGTCTTAGCACCGCCTTTCACCCGCAGACGGATGGACAATTTGAACGCACAATCCAGACACTCAAAGACATGTTGAGAGCTTGCGCAATGGATTTTCAAGGAAGTTGGGAACGACACCTACCTCTAATTGAATTCGCCTACAACAACAAATTTCAAGCTAGCATCGGTATGGTGCCCTTTGAAGCATTATACGGACGACCTTGCAGATCACCGATTTGTTGGACGGAAGTGGGTGATGCAAATCTGATAGGACCTGAACTTGTTTTAGAGACTACTGAGAAGGTCAAATTGATCCAACAACGGTTAAAGACTGCCCAAGACCGTCAAAGAAATTATGCAGACTGGAGGAGAAGACCATTGATGTTTGAAGTAGGCAGCCATGTGTTCTTAAAGGTGCAACCGAGGCATGGAGTCGTACGTTTTGGGAGGAAGGGGAAGCTGTCACCACGATATATTGGGCCTTTTGAGGTATTGGAAAGAGTCGGCGAAGTAGCATATAGACTAGCTCTACCCCCGTAGTTAGCAGAAATACACAACGTCTTCCATGTATATCTATGTTGAGAAAATAAGTCACTGACCCATCACACGTCCTCAAGTGGGAAGAAATCAGTCTTGACAAAGATGTTACATTTAAAGAAGGACCGGTAGCAATACAAGGCAGTCGAGAGAAAAACCTTAGAGGCAAGACGGTTCACTTGGTGAAAGTGCGATGGCGTCATCGGGAAATTGAGGAATCTACTTGGGAACGCCAAGATTGGGTGAAGGCAAACTACCCCGAGCTTTTCGAAGACAGTATGTAGTTGAATTTCGAGGACGAAATTGTTTTCAGGGGTATAGGTTGTGAAGCCCTCGAAATATGTATTCACTATAAAAATAAAAATAAAAAAAACAAAAAAAAAAACCTAATGTTGAATTATTTTCTTAAAGCTCCTCGGTTACTTGAATTAATTCGAATCTTGTCGGTTAGCATTACTATTTTTATTTTTATCGAAATAGGAATTACCCTAGCCGGATCAGGTTCCCTAACCTAATTTAATTCTACCTAAGTTACATGTATTTAACTCCAAGCCCTCATCCTTTATTTAAATTCAAAACTTACCCAAAAGCTAGTACTTGTACCTTGTACCTTGAAGTACCATCAATCTTGTAAGATATATATATATACACCGTGAAGAGTGTGCCATAGGAGCAAAACTAATAAAATAATAACTCCATCACACTCCCCCAAGGCCGGCCACCCTAGGAAGAAGAGAGGAGCCAAATTTCAAGATTTTTTATCATGATATTCTAGGAAAACCAAAACCTAGTACCCTAGACCTAGGATGATGTTCCCTATACTAGTTACCATTCAACTAAAAATCTACTAAATAATTCCTAATCCTATGATTTAGCACCTTAGTTTCTCATATCCCATTAGACTCCAAGAAAAATCCTAACATTTCCATCCATTTTCAACTAGTGGGCTTTTTTGTCCATTTACACCAAATTGACTATATATACCAACCTCCCCTAGCTTGGCAACACACAAACACCACACCCACACACACACATTCGACTAGAGAGAGGGTGGAGAGCAAGAAAGAGAAGTCTAGAAGAAGAAGAGGAAGAAAGAAGAGAGCTTTCTTGTGCAAAGCTTGATAGGTAAGCCACAAACACAACCTTCTCTTTCATTTTCTTTTTTTCAATACATGTTTCTAAAGGTTCTAAATAATGTTTTCAGAAATGATATTACTAAGTTCTTATGTTAAAAGTGCTAAGGGTTGAGTATTGATTCCATCTCTCTTGTATTTTCCCCATTTTTGTCCAAAACCTTTTTTTTTTTTGGGTACCAATCTCTCAACTTTGCAAAGGCACTCCTTCAAACAAATTTTTTGATTTAAATATATGATAGTTAGCATATTTTCTTCGCAAAAGAAATGAAACTTTCCCTTGGTGGAATCCCTTTTTCATAAATCTTCTTGTTTTGGGCAAAGTACCCTAGAATCGGTTTTTGCAGCCCACTTCCAGAAATTCTAGAAAAATGTATAAAATTATTCTGGGCCTATATTTCATGTCAAAACCTTCCTTAAGGTGTTATCTTTCAGCTAAAATTGGTTTCATTGAAAAACATTAAGTTGTTTGCAAGAAAATCAATTTTTCATAACAGTCGACGGATCTGGACAGAATCTGGACAGCGCTAGAATATTTTCTAGATAACTTAAAATTTGGAAAAGCGATGCCATTTCCAAAAAATGTTCTACAAACTAGATTAACTCCTCTACAAA